TGTTTATATAGTTCCTAGATTTTTCTGGGATTTATTTGATCAAAGGAAGTATTTTTAATAAATGGAATTTCATTTCATGAATAATTTAAATAGAAAAAGGTTTTAAAATCTTCTTCTCAGGTTTGGGCCGAAAGTCGGCCCAATTCTCTCTCTCTCCCTTTCCCTCGGCCTGCTCGCGCTCGGCCCAGTCCCTCCCTCCCCTCTGTCTCCCGCTGACAGGTGGGGCCCACCTGTCAGGGTCGTGTTCAACCTCCAACCGCGCCCTGGCTGTGCCGCAAGCCGCCGCCTCCTTCCTAAAATCCGGCCACCTCGTTCCTTCTCCGGCTGAATCAATTGAGGGGAAATAATCCCCTCGATCTCCTCTTCCTTTTCTCTTTTGTAATCCTGAGCTAATTCGTTTGGAAATCATCGGATTCGATGCCGATTTGGTTAGCTTCTCTTTCCAAAACCCTAGCTCTTTCCTTCTCACCGCCGGTCGCCGTGGGCCTAGCCACCGCCCCTTAGCCCCTATAAAAGTACCCCCAGGACCTCCTCTATCCGCCACCACCTTCTCCTTAGCTCGCCGTCGCCCGTAGCACCTTAGCCACTAGAGCCCGTGCGCCGCCGAAGCCGAAGGAAGTCCGGCTGTGCGCCGCCGGCGCTCCGGTCGTCGTCGTCGCTCGGGAAGGCTACCATCGGGTTCGCAAGGTCACCACCGTCCCCGTCCCGCCCTCCGTTTCCGTCGTAGACCGCTGGAGGACCACCGTCACCACCGACTCGAAGCTCTCCGCCGCTTCAACCTCGTCGCCGTCGTCGATCATCGCCATCCGTCGTCGTCTGAGCCACCGATGAGTTCGTTGAGCCGAGCTCTACGCCTTGGCGCCCTCCGTTTGCGCCGCCGCGCCATTGTTCGCTGGCGAGCATGAGGTGCCGGGCCGCCGCCGGTGATGATATCATTGTCGATCGCAGTGCCACGTCAGCCGTAGACCGTGGTAGACCGGATCGATCTCTGCCGTCCGATTCGGTCAATTTTAGGTCAATTAGATCTCGGCCGTTGGTTTCGTGGACCGCTTCTGTGAACCCGGTTTATGGTGGACTGTCCTTGATGACGCAATAAATCTCTTTTCCTTTTCAAAAGTAATTTTTTATTGCGTCGTAATTCAATTAAAATATTTATACTAGGCTTTAATTAGATTAAATCTTGTGAAATTCGTAACTAATTCATATGAAGTCACAATGAGGCCATTCAAGTCTCATAATTCATCTAAATTTATTATCTACATCTTTGTTTACTTTATATGTACTGTTTATTTGGTTTTTATTAGTCTTTTTCCTCATTTTGTGTGTTAGCTTGTCGTTTTCGTCGTTTCGGAGGTTCGCGAGTGCGTCGGAAGTATTCAAGAAGATTAATTGAAGACCGAATATTGCAAGGCAAGTCACACAGATCCCAAACACAATTCCTTTAAGCATGTTGATCCTATATTTAATTTCTTTGTTTATTTCAACTGTGCATTTATTTTCGAATGTCACCGGGTGGTGTGAACCTGTTCCTTTGTTATGGCCCATTTGCATGTATTAGATCTAATTGCTTAGCCATGCTTAGAAACATTAGCACACTATTAGGCTGATTAATGCTTCACTATTACCTAATGATGGATATTTAATTGTAGCTCACGATGGTCAATCGTGATTGGTTAATTAATTAATTTGTCAACTAAAACTTGACACTGGTGGGTTGTGAGTGTTGGTATTTCTTAACGACATTACCAGAAATATAATTCCCGGCAATGGCGCAGAAATACTCTTGTTATATTGTGGTTAAAGAGTTCATCCGCAAGCACACGGATATACCATTGTAGCATTTCACCCGAGAGTACTTCAAGGGTATCGTATTTATTTTATCCCATGGGAAGATCATGTAGAGAGAACTTGACTAATAATTTATATATTACTTGTGATAATCATATCCTAAGCAGAGGTTAAGATAATCCAAGGGTAGAGTGACACACAAGCATTAAGCTACTCATTCTCATAATAAATTATCTAAGCTAAATGGAAAGAAAAAAGGAAGATAATCTATTCCTATACTTCTTCTAGTATACACGGTATACATACATTCTAGTTCTCTGATATACTAGCAAATACCCTCTATCCGATGCCCTCCTAGTACTTCGAGAAGCCACCCCTGACTGCCGACTTCCTTACGACAACCCGTCATGACCATACAACCGGGGCTAAATACGGAGAAATACCCTCCCCAGAGAATTAACTTAGGACTATGTACACGCGCGGAGGAATACCCGTACTGAGCTATCACCATCAGCAGCCCACCTCTCATCCGCAGCATATAACCCCAGATAATGATATCCCGTAATCTAGACACTACGCCTAAACTACCAGATACTACTCTAATATCATCGTCATGACATAGAGTAATTGCATATGCAAACATTATACCCGCACCAAAGCATCTCCTAGATAAGCTAGCAGTATATTCAGTATAACATGAACATAATGTAAAGTAGGTATTAACATACTCGGAAAGTATTTCAATACCATAAATGTATATAGAAGAATATTCTAATTACAAATCTTACAAAAGAGAAGAGAAGAGCTACTAGAGCCATACCCGAACTCTTACGAAGACTTCCGGACTCCTGATTTCTACTCTATTCCTATTCCAATAGTTTAAGACAACTAAACTAACTTGAGAGAATATGAGAGAGCTCTTGCTTGAGGTGTGTATTGAACTGAAGAGAGTGAAGTTCTTATATAGAGGTAGTTATGATGGTTGTGGAAGGAGAATTGTCCAAAGTGCCCTCCAACCGTCATTGGGAAGCAATCCTGGACGTCCACGCCGAACCCTGCATCCAAGGCGTCAGGATGGGTTCGGCCGAACCATGGGCTAGGCCATCCTGGCCCATCTTTGGCTGGCGGTCTCCTCCATTGCTCCTTTATGCAAACTTGTGAATTTTGGCCCAATTCATCGTGTCAATTTTGAGTTCTTGGCCCATTCATGCATAAATCTGATTCTCGACATCGTCCAATTGATTTATTGTCTGAATTGATGTCGATTCTCCTCCATTTAATGATCATTCTCTGCAAAAGGTTAGTAAACATAATACTAGTGGAATATTATTATTCTAACATATATATGCATTGCAAGCATAACTAGTTCTCCTCTATTTTGGTAATATTGACGGTCGAAACTGATCGATAAGGACCGTCAACAGTGAGCACATGGTTTTGATGGTCGTGCTCATGACAATTAAGGACCGGTTCGCGAGATTCGGTTATGAAACATTAATCATGCTAACCACAAGCCAGAATGGGCAACGGCTGGACACTTTGTATAGCAAGGCTCATTGTGGTGTGGCAGACTGAGAAGTGGTGGAGATAAACCCACGGGGGTTGCTGGGAGTCCATGCCTTGTTTTATAAGGGGGTGATTATGATCCAGGAATGGTGTACAGCTTTGAGTTGAGTTATGCGAGGGGTCTTGTCATAATCACTCGCCATGGTGACGTGTCTGCGCGGACACGGTGACATGACGGTGGGTTGTGTCTTGTGGGTACAGTGGTACATCTCTGGCCAGAGTAAAGCTATTCGAATAGCCGTGCCCGCGGTTATGGGCGGATCTAACAATGTCTTTCGTGATTAGTCTCACACTTCTCACCATAATAAATGATGCTATAACTGGTAATAATTTGATTAGCTCCTGGTTTGGAACGGTACATTCCTGGTTTGGAGATAGATCTGTACAGCTGGGTATGGTTGTTCAGGTTTGGTTGGGCCTGTGCAGCATGGGTATGATGTTCAGTGTTGATTAAAATTGATAATTAATTACTCTACTGTTTTACAATTCTCAAATGTTTGCTAAATGCTTCTTTTGCAAATGAGCCATATATTATGCCATCCTTTGGTATCCTTGTACACTTACATATTTGCTGTATGGCTTGCGGAGTATTCCATGTACTCATCTTGCAATAATCAATCAAACCTCAGTTGAAGAAAAGGAAATAGAAGGAGAAGACGTTTGGTTTATACCCCAGTTGAGCTGCCTATGGAAGTGAAGCCGGAGCTTCGCTAGACCGTAATTCCGCTGTTGTTTTTTCTTTTCTTTTGTAAGTATGTAGTGTTATTATTATGATGGATTTGTATATTAAATTATTAGTTTGTGTACCTCGGCTGATTTCTGGATGATGATTTTATTGCATAAATTAGTTTGAAAATTACTAGTGAATTTTCAGGCGCTATAGAAGATTTGGAGCTAGTAGTTGTTGGCTATACTATTAAACTTGCTCTAAAGGAACATCAAAGGATGTTTGATGGCATCATCATATGCACGTCATGGTGCGTTTGGCTGGAGCAAAACGATAGAATGATAGAGTTTTCAACAACGTTTATAACGAGACAGTGGAAGATGTGGTCAACATAGCTACTACTATTGTGCAAATCAAGGGGAGAAGCGCCGGCTCAAATGTAGCTCCAAAAGCTTCTTACCAAAGTTGTCTTTTTTTAATTCTTTTTTTGTGTTTGCTGCTCCAGTAAAAAAAAAACTTTTTTTAGTCTCTTCTAATATAAAATAAAATGGCAGAGCTCCTACCTGCTTCTTTGAAAAAAATATACTGAACTATTTGAGAGAGCATGGAAAACAAGTTAACCAAGTATATTCAATAGAAATTCTTTCGGTAGTGATCTTACACGCATGGCATGTAACGGTGCCCTAAGAGCAAGGCTAATAGTATAGCCCATTGCCGGCTACACTCCATTTTATAGCCAACGCTGCAGCCAACTGCTCATACAGTAGGTTGTCTGTTGGTTGGCTACATCTCATAGATCAAATAATTAATTATAACTAGCACATGTCAATGTGTATGATCAAGAGTGAAGTGGATCATTGTAGCCAATTTGTTGTGGCATGAACATTTGTATGCTACAGAAGTAATCATAAAACACCACATAGTTAACACAATACAGTGCACATCAACCAAATTTGTGTTATAAGATGAAGAGTCTCCGTAGTATAAAAAAATACAAGGCACCAACAACAGATAAATAAAATACCATAGCAAGTAGATTAATGGATCATCCCAGGTCTAAACAAAAGGATAGGGTAGTGCATGTCTAAATAACCGACAAGGTAATAGAGGATAAAACAAAACATACTTAATGGTTTACAAATCCAAAAGTCACAAACAATGTGACATTAAGCAAAATACATAAATATGTTATCTAACAGATAGATAACGATTTCTTCATCTAATCAAAGAGAGACTCTTCATTGAACCATTGCATCATATGACCATTGCCTGAACTACCATCATTTGCTGAAAAAAAAAAGACAGATGTATCATATGACATGTACATCGTGTGATGAATAAATGAGAAACTAAAAATTGCACAGTGAATCATCTTTTCAATGAAACCTCACTAAAAGGAGTAACTACTGCATGCTTTTTCCTTAGTACAGGATACGAAAAATGTGATGAAGGAGATATAAATCTAAACAAGTTAATTCAGTGTGAGTTCTTTCAAAGAAATAGTTGCTGAGATAATTAATTGAGTGAGAGATCCAGTATATCCAAATGCATAAACAAGTTAATTCAGTATGAGTTCAACATGTAAGAGCATTAAGAGAATGCCATGCTACTGCATCCCAAATAAGAAGAGAGAATCACTAAACTATGGTTGTAAGTAGTCTGGCCTAGGAGTAAATTTAGTTCATACAAGTTACCTGTAAGAAGTTCAGCACCATGAATTGGACAAGAGAACATCTTCCTGAAATATATTACACAAGGATTAATTGATGATCTATATATGACAAAAAAAGAAGGCAAAAACCACATGCTTATTACCCTACCATGTTTATGTTGACTGCCTATTTCCAAACCGATTCCAAATATGCTCAATTAAATCATTTTTCAGCTGGGTATGGACTGAACGAGCACGAATAGCAGATCTCCTACGTAGCACATCAGAAAAACATGGGTTATCATCACAAGTTACTTCAGGAGGCAGAACTATTGATGTCCTAGGAATTCTATTGAGGTCAATGTCACATATTGCATCCTCTCTCTCGTCTTCAACAATCATATTATGGAGAATCACACAAGCTAGCATGATTTTCCCAACACTCTTTCGCTTCCACTTCTTTGCTGGACGGCGTACAATGTTGAAACGGGCTTGCAATACCCCAAAAGCCTGCTCCACATCTTTCCTTGCACCTTCTTGACGTTCAGCAAACAATTTATGCTTCTCTATTTGTGGAAGTGATATCGTCTTCATGAAGCTGGCCCATTCTGGGTATATACCATCAGCAAGGTAGTACCCATTGTTGTACTCATTCCCATTTACAGAAAAATGAACCCGAGGAGCCTCCCCTCTCACTTGTTCAAGGAATAAAGGGGACTGATTCAGCACATTTATATCGTTGTTAGAACCAGCGACACCAAAGAAAGCATGCCAAATCCAAAGGTCATATGACGCAACCGCTTCAAGGATAATTGTTAGGACTTTATAGTCACCACGGGTGAATTGTCCCCTCCAAGCTCTCGGACAACTCTCCCACCTCCAGTGCATGCAATCAATACTTCCTAACATACCCGGAAAGCCACGAGATTCATTAACTTGTAGTATATGATCTATATCCTCACTTGTGGGCCGTCGCAAGTATTGCCCACCAAAGACCTCAACTACCCCTCGTGCAAAAGTGTCCAAGCACTCTAAGGAAGTGCTTTTGCCAATTAGCAAGTATTCATCTAAAGCATCAGCAGGAGTGCCATATGCTAACATACGGATCGCTGCTGTGCACTTCTGAAGTGGAGAAAGGCCAGTGCGACCAGAACAATCTTCTCTTTGAGTAAAGTATGGAGACCATTGACCTAAGGCTTGCACGATACGTAAAAAGAGATGCTTTCGCATACGAAATCTTGTGCGAAACATTCTCTCAGGGTAGAGTGGCTGATTTGCAAAGTAATCAGCCACTAGACGTCGGTGACCTTCTTCATGATCCCTTGCAATGGTCTTCCTAGTTCCACTTTAGCGCTTGAGTAGCCCAGCTGCAAACTTGGTCTTGATCTTCTCTACGATGCGAGTAGCAAAGGAGTCTAGGACATTTTGATCAGAAATGTACTTGTCAAGAAATTTGGATGGGTCTAGGTCATTTGAGTAGGAGGATGAGTTTGAGTTTGAGGATGAATCTGACATGGTGGTTCTAGAAAAGGATGGAATGGTTTGGGAATTCCAGAATGGGAGAGTCAATATATAGATAGAGATTGACAGGTTGTAGTAGTTTGCATGCTAATTTCAGCATAAGAGAATGCTAGCAATGAATATTTGAGTTGACTGCATTATAATTTGGACCAAGTGCAAAATTTTGGACTGATTACATGATTTTTTGAGTAGCTGCAATTAATAAGTAGTCAACATGGGAATTTGGACAAAGGTCCACTTTAAATGCAAACAACTTTTGCATGCTAATTTCACCATAAGAGACTACTAGCAATGAATATTTGAGTTGACTGCATCATAATTTGGACCAAGTGCAAAATTTTGGACTGACTACATAACTTTTTGACTAGCTGCAATGAATAAGCAATCAGTATGGGAACTTGGAGAAAGTTCTTTTTTTTTGGACAAACTGCAATTAATAAGCATGAAAGAGGGAACTACCTGCATGTGTGTTTGTACTAACTTGCATTGATTTTTGGGCTGATTACATGTTTTTTTTTGAAGGCTTCAAATTAATTTCATCTAACTACATTTTAGAACAGAGATTCATACCTCACTGATTTTTGTTGAATATCTCTTCTCTCATGCATTTCAGCATGTGAACAAGCTCAGATCTCATATCGTCAGGCATCTTCCTTGTGTCTTTGTTCATTAAGTCTCGATAGGTTTCAATCATAGCTGTCTGGCGACTAAGCTTTTTGGCTGCATGGTTGTCAATAGAAACCCGTATTTGGGTCTCTAACACTTCATTTTGCCCTTCCTTGGTTGCTGCATGCGCATCCATAAACTTACGGATGTCATCCTCAAGCTCAGTTGTACAAACTTGGACCTTGCTCTTTTCTTTGCAACTACGTTGCGCCTTAGATGCCTTGGCTCCTATTGGTCGTGGTATATCTTCTTCATCATCAAGGGGGATAACATCATTGTAATCTGCCTTCCTTTTGTTTGACTTGTCAAGCTGCTCCAAATATGCATGCCACTTTGGTTGTTTTTTTAGTTCATTCCAACAGTGCATAAACAAGAATGGACCATCCTTGAAGTCATTCTCATATATTTTCTGTGCCTTGTTCATCAGATCTTCATTAGACTCCCCACTAGCATATAATGAATTAACCTCCTTCCAAGAGCAACAAAAATTCCCGACCTTCTTCCTAATTTTACCAAAACGATCCTTAACTTGCTTAACTAGTCTAGCTCGGTTTTTTGGTGTAGTGCTGTTGTAAGCTGCAGCTACATCGCCCCAATATTTATCATTCTTCTTGAAATTCGATTCTATAGGATCATTTGAGTTGTTCAGCCAAGCACTGATCTACAATTTCAGGAAAAAGAAATTTATTATTGCCAGTAATGCAAGTGACATGCATGCCATTAACAAATAAATAGCTGACATAAGCCACTTACCAATCTCAAGTCTTCATCCTTCATCCATGACAAGCGCTTATCAGTCCTAGCGACATGTCCATTCACAACATTGATGGGCTGTGATGGACTCCCTTCGGCCACATGATGGACATGGTTTGATGGGGTATTGATAAAATTAACGAAACCGCCGGGCGGACGAGATTCAACCCCCCGTATAGAACACATGAACATGCAAATCTTGTTCAAGTTGTGTCCGAATAATATAATATTTTAACAAGAAAATGGCCATTCAGTTTGTAAATGGAGTTCTATACACTACTAAAATAAACATGCACTCATCCAGTACAAAGGGCTAACAGACGAGCCTATACTACATTGGTGCAAACAAGGTATAGCAGAAGCCCACTAATCTATTGGGTTTTTATTAAAAAGACAGCCAATTTATTTTGTTGGGGACCAGTTCAACTGAATAAACTGCCTGGGCAAGGCTAGCTAACAAATAAACTGCTACAATATTTAAATATGTTCATTTTTTTTGTATAAAGCCATAAAAATTAACATTGTGATATTTTAAGACTTATCTTATATGTAACTCTGTTATTTTAAGACTTATCTCATATATATCATCTAAATATTACATTATGCCTGAAACTCTAGCAACAATAAGTTAGTCTATTCATTCAAGGAACTGGTATTAGAATTAAAACTTAGCAAGTTGTTCAATGCTTCTGTACATGTCCGTGTGACGCATTGAGGCTAGTACTTGTGAGGCATGCATGCCATAGGCAGCCGAGGCCTAACCCAAGTGTCGGTTGCAGCCTACATGCTTGCCGTTATTACCTCTAACTAGCATACACACTGCCCGGGAATTAATCTATTTTAGCGAAGGATCGTCGCTGTGAAGCCCGGGCAGCTGCACGGGAGGTGAATTCGCCACTGGCCATGCTGATTAGAAATATAATTCTGAACATTGTGTGCTTAAATTTGGAATGATGGGTTGCATGTGTTTAGGTGCAAGAAAATCGAATCAAATTGTTTCAGGTTTTTATTATGATCCCACCGAAACTTATAGCTTGTGGTCACTTATGTCAACAATTTTTAAATGCAAACAATATCTGTAAAATTTCAGTGCAATAACCACAATCAAATTGTTTCAGATTTCAGTCACAAATGGATATCAAATCTTATTAGCCTAAATAGAATTCAGTGCATGCTTTGTAACTTTGTTTTTCAAAGAAACATCACTTAAATAAGTAAATCAGTACATGCTCTTTTTTTTTATTTAGCACTAAAAGGAGTAATCAGCATGGCAAATTCAGAACTAACAAAGCCAATTGACAGACATACCATTCTTCAAGATCAGGATGCACATCAGTCTTGCCGGCCGCAGGAGGATGGAAAGCAGAAGAGCCAGGCATGGCTTGTGGCTGTGGAGAAGCAAGCCAAGCTGTCGGTGGCGGCGGGAACCCGAGACCCCCATATGGATATGGCGCTGCCTGCGACGTAGGAACAGCGAATGGAGCAGTAGAGCTCACGACGGCCTGAGGAGGCGGCGCTACCTCCCTCTTCCTCCGACGAGACATGGTGTTGGTGGTGGGGAACTAGGGTTTTAGGCAGGAATTTCTTGCGGGGGCGGGAGAGATTATACAAGGTGGAAGAGGAGCGGGTCTGTGGTCGAGGTGGCTGTCGATTCGGTGGCCGGCGGAAGAGGGAGATCGGAAGCGGCGGAATATGGCGATGGGGAATTTTGGAGCAACTGGATTTCTCTGTCATATAGGTAGGCAATTTCGCGAGCGGGAGAGGGAGAGGAGAAGCGCGGGAACCGCGCGGGAGGGAGGGGAGAAGCGCGGGAGCCGGGGGGATAGATTGCGTCGCGCGCTGAGAATCGAGGAGGCGGCGGCGATCGAGAGAGAGGAAGGGGATCTGGAGAGGAGGGCGATGCGGACGGGGAGGGCGATACGGATGGAAAGCGTGATCCCCTGTGGTTGTGTGGGACCCGCATTGTGTTTTTTTAATCGCTGAGTGCGGCTGCAGGCGAGCGATGCGGAGTAAAAAAATCGCTATCGCCGGGCTACAAATTAGTCGGTCGTTCTCTTCTCTCTCTCTTCACTTCTCTTCCCTCCACGTAGGAATAGGATGATGTGGCACAGTTTTGTAGCCTGCTGAGTCAGTTTATTGTACCTGCTCTAACAGAGATGAAAAAAAAGGGGACAATAATGTTCTCTGCAGGAGCTAGCAAAAAAAAAAAACTGTTTCCTTTCAAAATAAATAACGTCAATCAATTGCTGTAGTGACTGATAACTATAGATATTCCCGGAGAGAAGATGAAGCGAGCTGCCAAAGTAGTGTTGCCCAATCATCAAAGAGAAATGGTCACAGCTAAGAATGTTAAGCCCTTCTCTTTTTTTTTTTTGGATAAAGTGATATTACCCCAGCTTCTATTGAAAGCTGAATAAGAGTTTTAAGGTAACATAAAAGGTTGCTTAGCAGCTTAACAGCGCAGCGAAGAGGTCTCAAACCATAGCCAAAAGCTTAGACAACATTGAGCCAACACTACCCTATCCAACACAGAATGAAACCAAAAGATCACTGAACATTCGCTAACTAAATTCCTGACGACAGCATCCAGTCTTTCAACTGCAGAACAAAAGCCAGCTACCACTTTATCTCTGTCCACCACTCAAACAGAATGCTCCTGGACTGTTACAAGAAAATGAATTTGTAAAGCGCCAAACTAGTATTTGAAGGGAACTTATGTTCAATTGACATCTTATTTCTTAACCACCAAATAGACTCAGTGCAGCAAATACATACAAAAGTTGCAAAAAGAAAAGAAAAAAAAAGATATAATCAACAGTTTGTTATTGTCTGCATAATTCTCCTCTCAAGAGTTGTTGAGAAGTAGGGGGTTCATCATTGAATAACTGCCATAAAAAACTTTGATTTTCATTGGAAGTCTACATATCCAAAGTCTTCTCATCCTTTGGTTTATAACCCATCTATGCGCCATGAAACATGAAACTTTATAGACATCTGACAGAAAATCACACCAAAATTTTCAAACACCCATCGAATTCTATCCTCCCCGTCTGCAAGCAGAACATTTGCCAGCAAAGCCATTAACTCATTCCGTTCTAGCATTTGCAGCTCCACGAATCCCAAAAGTGCCCTAAAAGGGATGTACCATTGTCCATCCTCACAGCAACCAAACACAGAGGTATTTGGTTCAGAACAAAGATCAAATAACTTTGTAAATCGACTACCACCTATACATCAGTCCACAATCTAGTGCTCCTGCTAAAAAGGAAATCGTCCAGAATCTAGTGCTTTTGTTTAAAAAATAATGTCCAGAATCTAGTGATTAGGCTTATACTTACTCTAACAGAAAATAGAAGAATTGCAATCTATCAAACAAATTAAACAGAGTATTACCTACTAAAACAGAGGAATTGCAATCTGGCAAACAAACTTAATATAATATTAGCTAGTAAACTGATTCCATCATCCAGATGGAACCTGAAGATCATTTGCATCATCCCAGCTAGGTGTCGTCAGAGGTGCCAAACGCAACAAGAATGGAAATGCAGGACCCCTGAAAGGTTCATCCGAACCGTTGCGAAACATCTCCAGCTTCATGGTGCTGAGATTGAGGACGAGAAGATAGGAATTAGATTTCCTGATGGACCAGAACTCCATGTAGACATAGCCAGCCTTTGCTGCCAGCACACGCACCCTCTTCATCCACTCCTCACTCCGCAGCTTCTTCAAGTACCCAAACTGATGCAACAATGAGATCTCCTTCTTAAGCAGCCATCCACCATTGATGGTGCCGCTGCCGCTGCTGCGGACCCAGAGCTGAAGGTTTTGCTCCTGGCTGGACACGAGGCAGAGCCCACCGTGCTCCGCCATGTCAGCGACGCAGTACGACTCCCCTACCTGAAACGGCGCCACGATGACTGTCCAATTCATGGTGCCCACATCGAGCAGCAAGATCCTCTCCACGTTCTTGTTGTTCTTGGTGTTCGACCGCCAGTACACGAACCGGCCGGCGGACATGCCGTCGCGGTCGGTGAAGCGGTAACACAAATCCGCCTCCGCGTCGAAGTCGAACAGGGTCCATTTGTTGGTGCGGGAGGAGAACATGGCGGCGGATGTGTCGTCACAGATGCCGATGACCCGGAACGAGGCGTCGGCGTCGTCGACGACAATGGCGTACCTGACCATGTGGAACGAGCAGCGGAAGGCTTGGGGCGGGCGGAAGAAGATGGCAGTCCGCGAGATGGGATCGTAGACGGCGAGGTCGAGCCCGTAGCGGCCGCGGGAGAGGAGAAGGCGGCCGCCGTCGCAGCCGCGGAGGCGCCACTCGTCGGAGTAGAAACCGCGGCCGTCGTCGTCGTCCTCGTCCGAATCGATATCGGGGAGGTCTTCGAAGAAGATATCGCAATCGGCGGCGGCGGATGCCAGATTGGGCTTACGGGCGGTGGTGCGGACGAAGTAGATGTTGGGGCAGTGGCGGGGGACGGGCTTGTCGCCGCGGTCGGTGAGGATGAAACCGACGAGCGGAGGACGGCGGAGCGGGAGGAAGCGCTGGAGAATGGCGGGGTCGGAGGCCGCGCGCCGCCAGCGCTTGCAGGAGAGGGCGGCATTGACGAGTGACGCCATGTTGGGGAGGCGAAGGAGTATCTTCCGGAGGAGGTCCACGCCGACGGCGTCGATCGGCGGCGAGGTCATCGGCTTCTTGACGCCGCCGCTCTCGCTTCTCACACACGGTTCCATCTCGTTCTCTCTTAGTAGAAGTCGCACCGTGGAGGAGTACGCATTTTATACAGTTGCCATTTCGGCGCGAAATACACTTTGGATTCCCGCCAAAAACTTTCCCAGCCATTTCTGCCGCCATATATGTTTTCGGTAATGGCATGATTCCGGGGTGTTTTTGGTAGTGGCAAGATTCGATAGTAGCAAAATTTTTGCTAGGTTATTGTTTGGAGACTAATTAAGCTTTGATAAGTATTGCATTGGAAGGAATGTCAAATAATTTGGCATGCCAATTTTTTTATTTAAACTACTCCACATTCCAAAATACTTCTATATTGATTTCTGCTCATATTTTGAATGTATGTACACATCTCTTCATCCAAAAACATTTTGGGAAACACGCAGAAATCGGTTGAGTTGGGCACCGTCATAACATAGACGGTTAGAATTTCAGACTCGCCATTTGATCGGTAGGCCTAATATATGAGCCGACATGGTGTAGATTCCGTGTGTGAGGCTGAGGAGTTAGGTGTGAGCGAAACCTACATGTGATTTTGAGCTAAAAGTATACGAGAGTCAACGTGATAAATTATATTGATGCCGGACATGAGTACATATAGACAAGATGCATCCTTATCTTTACAACCGACTTAAAGAAACATAATTACAAGAGAAATAGGGAAACCGACCAAGGAGATAATATTACAAATATATCTCTAGCACGAGCCACATAGAAACTTTATAAATAAATGACTTTTTACATATAAATTTTGTACATGGAAAACATTCTATATAGAAACTTTTTCCAAATAAAATTTATACATAGAAACAACCTTATACATAAAAACTTCACGTATAAAAACGTTAGAAATGAATTTGGGTTAATTGGATTAATGCCATTGCAAATTCTACAATTTAGAGACCCACCATTACTATTCACCTTTTAGAAACCATGCATTACAATTAGATGTGGTATTTTATAGAAATTGGATGTGATTGGACCCACATGCAGGCCATTATATTTTCGTATTGCCCAAAATGCCCCTACTATACTTGTTCTCTCCACCTCATTGACATGTGCCCCACACGGCATCCCCTCCCTCATCCCCATGAAGGCAAGCCTTCACTGGAGGATGAAGCCGAGCTCCCATGCTCGGACTGTCACAATGTCGTTAGAGTTGAAGGTGGTCATGGGCGGAGGAGAGGTCGATGAGGGTTGTGTCATAGCCTGTACCTCCACGTCAGACTGCAGCTCTGACGACACGGCGAGACTAGAGCTTTGGGATGCGAGCCATGGAGGAGGAGTACAATGGTGAAAAGGCTAGCAGCATGGACATGGTACACCGAGATGAGGAGGGAAGAATACGGGGATGGTGTTGAGGTCACTAGCATGATTTTCCACCCGTCGGCATGACTACTGGAACCTCTGCACATCGGATGCTCCGATGGTAAGGAGGAGGTCAAGAGTAGAGATGTGCTCCACGAAGATGAGGAGGGAGGTCGTGTCGAGGTCATCGACTCGAGTACTGGAGTCCACATGTTGGAGCACGACGGTGAGGTGGTGGCTGGTAGTAGGGACACGCCACATGGAGATAAGGGGGAAGGCATATAGGGATGGTGTCGAGGTCGTCGACACGATTCGCTGCCTGTCATAACCCCGGTGGAGCTGGAACGGAGTGCTTCTCAGCTTTCTGATTTGGCACGATGAGGAGGTTGAGCTTTGCCGACATCGCTTGGCGTCATGGGCTTCCTAAAACAGTATCTCCCACACCTATACCACAGCATCCGCCGTCGCGTAAGCCCTGCTAGAGCTCATCGTTTTAGGTGTGCATCTACAGTTATGTCCACGATCTTCAGCTCTTAGAGTATGTGCCATAGAACCAGGGCTGTCGATGAGGGTGTGCTAAGTGAGCGACCGATTTGGGTCCCAAAAAATTAGGGGGCCCAATTTTTTTATATTTTAATCTATGTCAATAACGTTCCGATGAATTTAAAAGCCTCTTGTTCTATTTTTACAAAGTCTCATTCACCCAATTGTTGATTTGGCTAGAAAAGGGTTTGTTTTATTCAGCTTTGATAAGTGTTCGATGGTAGTTTTATGGATGGCAATGCTAGTTATAATCAAATATTTATGGGTGAGGAAGACCTTCATAAGACTGCTTTTAGATGTCCTGGTGCAATCGGCTTATATGAGTGGGTTGTGATGACCTTTGGGTCGAAGAGTGCTGGGGCTACATATCAAAAAGTGATGAACTATATATTTCACGATCTAATCAGCTTATTGGTGGAGGTCTATATTGATGATGTAATAGTTAAATCCAAAGTGGTCAAAGACCATAAAGCCGATTTAAGAAATGTTTTCGAAAGAACAAGGAGATATGGTTTGAAGATGAATCGTACGAAATGTGCCTTCGATGTATCGGCTGGGCAGTTTTTGGGTTTCCTTGTTCATGAAAGGGGGATAGAGGTAACTCACAGTAGCAATAACGCGATCAAGGAGATCCAACCCCCAAAGAATAAGACACAACTGCAATCTCTGGTCGGTAAGATAAATTTCATCAGCCGATTCATTTCTAATTTATCAGGAAAGATAGAATCTTTTACGCCTTTGCTCAGGTTGAAAGCCGATCAGGAGTTTGTCTGGGGGCAGAGCAGCAAAAAGCCTTGGATAACATCAAGGGATGTTTGAGCAACCCACCGGTTCTGATTCCTCCACAAAAGGGGATGCCTTTCAAATTATACTTATCAGCCGATGAGAAGGCAATCGGTTTGGTCTTAGTCCAGGAGTTTGATGGCAAAGAAAGGGCAATTTTCTATTTAAGTAGAAAACTTTTGGACGCGGAGACGATGTATTCTCCAGTGGAGAGATTGCGCTTATGCCTATATTTTTCTTACACGAAGTTAAGGCATTACTTATTGTCCAATGAATGCATTGTGCTGTGCAAAGCCGATGTTGTCAAGTACATGCTATCGGCTCTAGTGTTAAAAGGAAGGATCGGGAAATGGATTTTCGCCTTACGGAATTTGACCTCCGATATCAATCACCTAAGGCAGTCAAGGGGCAGGCCATAGCCGATCTTATTGTCGAACACCAAAACGGCTCAATCGGCCTGGTATTCATAGTACCCTGGACGCTATTCTTCGATGGGTCCGTCTGCACTCACGGATGTGGCATCGGCTTAGTGATCGTGTCACCTAGGGGGGCAAGTTTTGAGTTTGCCTATACCATCAAGCCTTATGCAAATAACAATCAAGCCAAATACGAAGCGGTCCTCAAGGGGTTGCAGCTATTGAAAGAAGTTGAAGCCGATGACGTTGAGATTATAGGCGATTCTCTGTTGGTCATTAGCCAGCTGGTAGGGGAATATGAGTGCAAGAATGATACGTTAGTGATCTAGAATGAGAGGTGCCGGGAATTGATGGATTGTTTTTGGCTTGTGACAATGAGACATGTTTCTCGAGCGCAAAATGCTGAGGCTAATGATTTAGCTCAGGGGGCATCGGGGTACAAGCCGATGGCAAGGGATGTCGGGATAGAAGTCACTACAATTGCAGCCGATGACTGGAGGCATGACATATTTCAGTACTTAAAGAATCCCTCTCAATCGGCTTCGAGAAAATTGTGATATAAAGCATTGAGATATGTTTTATTGGAAGATGAGCTATATTATGGGATGATTGATGGGGTACTGCTCAAGTGTTTGAGTGCACATCAAACCAAGGTCATGATGGGAGAAGTACACGAGGGCATATGTGGCACCCATCAATCGGCCCATAAGATGAAGTGGTTATTGCGACGTGCTGGGTATTTTTGGCCGACAATGTTGGAAGATTGCTTCAGATATTACAAGGGCTGTCAAGACTGTCAGAAGTTTGGAGCTATTCAAAGAGCACCGACATCAGCTATGAATCCTATAATCAAGCCATGGCCGTTCAGAGGTTGGGGAATCGATATGATTGGCCAGATCAACCCACTATCAAGCAAAGGGCATAAGTTTATGTTAGTTGCCACCGACTATTTCACTAAATGGGTTGAGGTAGTTCCATTGAAAAATGTTGATTCTGGGGACGCAATCGAATTTGTTAAGGAACATATGATGTATAGATTCGGTGTGCCGCAGACCATTACGACCGATCAAGGATCTATCTTCGTATTGGATGAATTTGTTCAGTTTGCAGAGAACATGGGAATCAAGTATTGAATTCCTCATCATACTATGCGCAGGCTAATGGGCAAGCTGAGGCATCTAACAAAAGCCTAATTAAATTGATCAAAAGGAAGATTTTGGATTACCCTAAGCAATGTCATACCAGGTTAGCAGAAGCATTGTGGTCCTATCGGATGGCTTGCCATGGGTCGATACAACAGTTCCTCCTTACAAGTTGGTTTACAGGCATGAAGCGGTCCTACCAAGGGAGATCAACATCGGCTCAAGAAGGATTGCTTTGCAAGATGAGTTAACAGCCGATGAATACCGTAACCTCATGGTAGACGAATCGGAAGAATTGGTTCAATCCAGGCTACGCACATTGGAAAAAGTGATGAAGGATAAAGAAAGAGTTGCCCGTCATTATTACAAGAAAGTTGTGCCCAAGTCTTTTACAGATGGTGAGTTAGTTTGGAAGTTGATTTTGCCGATAGGGACCCGTGATAATAAATTCGACAAATGGTCACCAAATTGGGAAGGACCTTTCTGAATCTACAAGTCAGTTTATAAGGGAGCTTACATGTTACAAGGGCTCGATGGAGAAGTTTATGGAAGAGCACTCAACGGAAAATATTTGAAGAAGTATTTCCTAAGTATTTGGGTCAATGCATGATCGACTGGTTTGTGCCGATACATAATAGCCGATGTGCAAAGCATCGCCTCTAGATGGCAGATACGTGTATGATCGCCCTTAGAAGATTTCAGTACTATGGATCGGTTGATTTAAGCCGATACAAGATAGCCGATTTGTTTACATCGTCTTCAGATGGCCGATATATGTTATATATATCGCCCTTAGACCAATATAATTTTG